CACGCTATTAATAAAACATAAAATTTGTACTACTTACTTTAGTAACGTCTAGCGGTTTCCGAGTTGTTAAAGTACTCCGCTGAAATGGATCTTTTTGACATGAAAGAGCTATTTTTTATACCATTTTTTTGCTATCAGCAAAATTTATTTATATAATGACAACATTTATACTTCAGGGTCTAAAAAATTCCTGGGGAAAAATTCCTGGGCTGTTGTGGATCTGTCAACATTGTCAAAAATAATGCATCAAGACGCATTTTTTAGTAGGAAAAATGTCGTAATAAACAGATTAGCAAAAAATCGGCCTTTGCTGTCGATAGATTCCCGTTACTTCGATCTGCTACTTTCTTTTTTTTGTCGAAGCCGTTCAATAGAAAACATAAATGAAAACTCTGCAACATTCGAAGCATCCTGTTTATTGTATTAACAATTTATTGTATTAACAAAACGGTATTAATCCAAACAACACGTCTAAAAACGGGACATAAGACGTCTTAAAGATAATCTTATTGACGTCTTAAAGACATATTTTAATATTATTAATAGTATTAACCCAAACAATATCATGTCTAAAAACGAGACATAAGACGTCTTAAAGATAATCTTATTAACGTCTCTAAGACATATTTTAATATGATGTCTAAAATACATCTTAATGACTCCTTTAAGACGTCTTATGTTTCGATTTTAGACGTTTTGTTGTCTGGGAATATATTGACAGCATAAAGTAAAATAATTTTGAAATTTCAGTTTTCTTAGCTGTACAAAAATGATTCTGATCAACATTTTCGATTTCTGCTGCATGTATATTGAGATACTATATTAAGATACTAAATTGCTCTTTCGAAATTCGCACTATGAATAATGTGATCGTTTTACAAATTGCCAGAAGAGATGCAAGACGTAAAGAGATGTAAAGAGATGCAACTTGGGACGATTAATATTATCGTTACAAATTGTGCGCCAATTTGCAACGTGCGAAAAATTTGCAATCTTCCAGCAAGACTCTGTTCGCCGTCGCGAGTAAAATGATTAATCTTGTTCCAAGTTTGTTATTTATCAACCACGTTGAAAATAAATTCCGCGGTTAATCGACGCTTACACGAAGACCGATTACTCGCAGTCGGGAGACACATCGCCTGACAGACTAATTAATTGGCTATTAATGATCCGACACATGCAAGATGATTTGCGTGATCTTCCTAGTTACGCTAGGAAAAGTCGACAATATTCTAGCGGCCTTCAAATATTATTAAACTATCAATACGAGTATTTGATATCATTTTCATCTATATTTGTGACTGGTCAACAATTCTTTAAATTATTTATATTGCAAAATAATACAATTATACATATAATTATTACTAAAATAATAACAATTTATTGAAATTAAATTTATTTAAAAATTCTTGAAAAATAATCCATCTAAATTTACTCATAATCAGCTATCTGAAGGAATAGTTGTCTTGACAGAATATGTCAATAATATACGAGTATACAATCAGCATCGAAGTCACAAATCAAAGAATATAAATTCGATTGAACAATGAGCGTTTTGACCACAAAAATTAAAACCCGAGCAAACATACGTTCTAAAATCGTCTTAAATCCTGGGTCATGTTCGAACTGTATTTTAGTATGGTCCAAACGAGAGTTGCTACATATTTATGATCTCTTATTTATACACATTGAGCCACCGCCCACCTAGTGGCATCGTTGTCATACGAGAAGACGGAAGAGCACGGAAGCGACGAAAGAAGAAAAGGTAAAAGAAGACGAAGAAGAAGAAGGGGTTGAATGTGCTCGGAAGGGGTAGATTATTTACGGCGTAACGGTCTACGTCACTACTGTCCGCGTTGTCAGGTAGGCGGATCAAGTCCCGAGGTGCAATTTGCATCTGTTTGCGGCTTCTCGCCTCCGCCCCTCTTTCGCTGGCTCATCAGAGAGCGATATATATCGTTCCTCTTTCACGCCCGCGTATACCAGCCGATCGCCTTTTTACATACCCGGATCGTCATCACCGTCCCGACACACTCGATACGCTGCCTTTTTGTCACGTGAAATTATTGAACCGAACAGAAGATTTTTTGGCGATTGTATTGGAATTAATTAATATTCTTTTTACTTCACACATATACCTATATTCTATTTTTCAAATTATAAAATATAATTCTATTACCAGTGATGGGTAAGATACATTTAAAATGTATCTCGATACAGATACAGATACGATTTCGTCATGGTACTAAAATTTGACTAATAGTCGCTCAACCGGTGTTATCACTTGCCTTTTAAAAATTGAAAGAATTCGGCTATTCAAAAAAAATATCTGCAACTGTATCTGCAAAGATATCTAAAAAAAGGAATTTAGAGACATGTTTTGCATCTGGAAATAGATCAATTTGAAGTTATCACAGATTTTTTTTTATCAGACTCAGGATACACAAAATTTTTTTTAGCTAGTTACTGTACCTATAGATACATGTATTAGATACTACCCAACATTATTTATTACTGAAAAAAGTAATGAATAGTGATCTATCGTTTCCGAAAACTAGTAAGGCGGCGATTTCTGACAGATCTTGATTCACATTCTACAGCTTGAACGACCAAGAAATAATATTAAAGTAAAAAAATGTTGCTCAATTTTGACGCGAATGATTCAATATGAAGTTCTTGTTTATGCTTCATCAATGTTTATTATCGTTTTTATCCACTTTCTTTCTTTCTTGCCATAGACAGAAAATTAGTTAAAAGTGACCCCAGCCAGAAATCATATCGAATCGACGGCGATTTGATAAATCGATGTCAAATCAACATCGATTCGTCGTCAATTTGATCAGTAATTTCTGGCTGGGATGCATATCGTTCTGCGGGAATTTTTATAGAGTATTCGAAGTCATCTCTATCCTGAAATTGTAGATAAATATATCTGTACACTATGAGGACCTAACGTGCAGGTATAGAGTCAAAACGAGGCTTCCCGTCGCGCGGGGCTGACAAAATAAACTGCTTGATGTCTCTATAGCTTGTAGAACTTCCGTGAACAGAATTTACTTTTAGACTATGGTTTTACCAATTGGCAGTCACGTTAGACTATTGCGGAGGAGTGCTTCAAGGACGCGTCAAGTTTTCATTCTTTAAATGAAAAGATTATTTATTATTTTCATTCTTTAAATGAAAAGATTATTTATTATTTTCATTCTTTAAATGAAAAGATTATTTATTATTTTCATCCTTTAAATGAAAATATTATTTTATATTTGATTTATATCGCAGACATAATTGATAAAAGATGTATTCATATACACTTTTCGTAAAATACCCCTTTTGCCAAAAAATTGTATAAGGGTAAAATTGTTTTTTTTTTTTAGAATTGTAAAAAAATATTCGGAAACAACTTTTAATATAACTGACTTGAAATTTCTGCACAATGGCAGTACTTTATTAAAACAGACAATTTCCTAGATAAAGTGCTTTATATTTACTCTCTGTAATTAAATTGTAAAAGTATTATACTAAATTTTGTGTTTTTATATAGATTTTTTTCTCGTTTGCATATAAAGAAGACATAAAGAATATTTCCACGTTGGATTAATAAATATTTTGTTAAATATATTGTTGAAATGGATTCGGGACATTGTCATTATTTAAAGCGATTAATTACTAAGGGAAATCAACGATCGATCACTATTTCACGTCACCGTCGCGCCTATTGTGTCGCATCCTCTTTTCAATCATGCATCGTCATTTCCCCGATAGCACGGAATGGAGGCCCCCTGGATGAGAGGAAAAAAAGCGCGAATCCTGGAGTAATTCGCAATCATGCGTGAACAGCTGACACTGGAGATTAGGTAAACTCTACGCGCCTCGCGCCAGCGATTTGCGCTAAATCGCTTTACGTAGCTTGAAAACGCGCAAGAAACGCACAATCTGTGCTCGAGCGATGACGCCGCATAGAACTGGCGACGAGAAGATCACGACGGTTTTCTCCCATTACCTTAATTGCGCGCTCTACAAACAGAGATTTGTCCTGAAAAATTTAATTGAGTCTTATGAACACCGTCTAACTGAAAACAGTTGGAATGATGCTATGTTTGGAATTAAGTCGTTAGCTGTTTACGTTTGTTATATTTCAGTAATATACTTTTCTTTATATTTATTTATTTATCAATTCAAAAAAAAATCTCTACAGTTATAACTTTAAAAATAAATCTATATTGCTATGTATAGTATTAAAAATTATTGCAGAGAAAATTTTCGTCTTTGAAATATGGAATACAACTCTTGCAATTATTATTAATTATTTTCCAAGAATAAAATAAAAATAAAATAAAGTATGTTATTTATTTTTTTCAAATTCGTCATTTTAAATATTAAATTTTTCTCTGAAAACACATTTGAAAACCATTCTACTTCATATTTAAGGACAGATAGAATATTAATAGTTTATTTTTATTATCGTGTTCTTCTCGAAAACTGTGCAAGTTTTTATTTTTGATTTTACCTAAGCTCATCCACCGGCAATTTCTTTTCGTAGAAAACCCTCGATAATGTCTATACTTACCCCTAAAATTATCTATGTACTTTTCGAATCGCAATTAAACGGCTATAAGATCTCCAGTGACCACAGCGAGACCTCGGAACAGAAGGTTTAACTTGCGGGGTCGCACTTAGAGAATAACGAGCTGTATGTAAGCATGGTGCGTGCTCGTAAAAGCATGGCAATAAAATCAGCCAAGGTGCCCATCTGGTTGGGGCGTGAATCAGAGGCGTGGTAGAAAGTCTTCCAGTGCCACGATTGGTTAACGTTGAGCACCAGTGTATTCAAGAAGCAAGATTTGATCTCCCCTGTCGGCTTTCTCGTGCCGCTCGTACCCCAACCAGAGTATCGCCAGACAGGCCAGACTTACTTGATGTTGTAACTGGTGGGAGTTGCTTAGCCGTTAGTTACCCCAACGCTCCATCCCCGGGACGTTTAGTCACGATCAGCTCACCGATCGGTAGAGATCTGTCTCTTATTAATTTCGCAAAAGTAAGTGTACACGACCGTTCTATGTCACAGATCAGGTCAAATCGTTGAGAAATCGAGAAGAGATCAAGTCAATGGTTCCAATCAATGACCTTCAGCTCAAACAATGACCTAGGTGCTTGAAACTGAATGGCTGCGATGGGCTAGTCTGTCGCGTGTCGAATTTTCGATAGATAGATCATTTGTGCTTGCTTATATATACATTTTTTACATGATCGTCGGGTGAATCGCGGGACTAAGTGGAATAAGTAGAACGGAAGTTTTCATGGAAGATTCAGTGAAATACCCTAGTGAAATTTATCATTATCCGAAAGGACCGGAGTACCTCGTGGTGGCTCGACTCGGTTGAGATGGTTACGACAAACTTTCCGATGATGCGACCATGTTTCACTGGATATCCCTTTCAAGGTATGTTTTTCTTGTTGCTAGTTATCTAAAATTATTTGTAAACTTGAAATTTACGAGATGATTTTATATACGATCCAGATTATTTTACTTTATCTTTTATCTATCCACAAACATTGTTCAAGTAATATTTTTGTGTTTTTCTTGTTGCTAGTTATCTAAAATTATTTGTAAACTTGAAATTTACGAGATGATTTTATATACGATCCAGATTATTTTACTTTATCTTTTATCTATCCACAAACATTGTTCAAGTAATATTTTTGAATCTAAACAAGACTTCAAAAATCACGACTAATATATAATAAATTATCATGGATCCAATGGATCCGACTCAACTCAAAGTTGAATACAGTCGTGAATAGAAGTCAGATAGAGTCAACAAGTCGAATGCGTTAAAAATTCTTTCAGAAAAGAACCATTAGAGTTTCTAAATGAAACCTACAACGAATCCATCAGTTCAGGTTCTTATTCTATTCTGAACAAATTTGGCATCATGAAATTAAAGCTGATACAAACCAATTAGTTAAAGTGATGAAAATCCTTTTGGAGCAATCCTTTTGGAGTAATAAGTTATGCGGATTCTGCAAAAATCTGCGAGATATATTAATGTTACACTTTTTATCACGAAATCTTGTCCGATTTATTACAATTATTGTATCTGTTTTGAATTGACGTGAATATTTTATGAAACATTATTAAAAATGACATAAATTATAAAGTATTTTCCTCAAGACCAATAGTAGATGAAAAAAAGAAAACTATTTATCTCTTTTGATTTATTTTTCACACTTATTTATCATTTGCACAGCATCAGGTTTCTTTATCATCAATATTCTTTTGAAGAATTGATAATAATAATAATAATAATAATTATAAATATGTTTTATTATTGATACATATATCAATATTAAGCAAATTTTTATATAATTTGTCGAAATTTCTCATAAATAGAACCATGTGACATTTCTTTGTCAACTAGTCATAATACAGCTATTTTTAATATTATATTTTTACAATTGAATACTGTTATATTTATATATTTATTATATATTTTCTTCTGTCTATTTATAGACATTATTTATGTTTATTGTACTGTTTTCTTTGGTATTATTCGATCAATGTTGTTCAATTATCATTCAAATTTTCTGAGAAATATCATTATACAATATTATAAAATAATTAAAAATATTGCACTTTATATTTAAAAGTAATTGTGTTATAAAAATTTATTCTATAATAATTAAAGTAATTATACTTTTATACACATTTTTAATATTTGCTTTTTTAAAAATAATTAAGATTGTGAAAATGTGTTAGAAGTGATTTTCCTTGACTTTTTTTGTCGACTTATTTATTAGTCATAAATTTAACTTATAGTCAGGTCCAAATGGTGCTAAGTTTGCTAGAAAAAAGAATAAAATGAAAAGATCTCAGGTCAAAGAAAGTTTTCTATACAATTTTATGCTCCGAAGGATAGCTGTCAGTATATTTAATCATTGTCCGTTGTCATTCATAAATCCGATTTGTCAGTGTCGAAGGGCATGATGTTTTTGAGTGTAATTAGCATGAATAATTAGTTGCTTGATGATTTACCAGTTGGAAACTAGATGCGAAAGCCTGCATTCGCGGAAATCACGGTGGTAAATGATGGCGGGCGATTAGCAGTTCAGCGAATGCGCTTCCGTAAAATCACCGCAAAAAAAGTCTTCAATGATGGTCGTTAATTATTTTATCTTGGATAGAACGTAAGACCTCTTACTTCATAATTCTATCATTATAATGATTTATGAGTCGCGCTGCTGTTTTTTTTTTCTTTTGCGAAAAAACGAGGGTTTTATTCTCGTTTTTCAAAGCGTGATTTAAATTAAAATTAGAATTATTTGAAAAACATTGAGAACTTGGCGAGTTAATAGAGTCTCCGTAAACTCTCATTTGTCAATTACGAACGATCGATTAAATCACGAGTTATTTCGTAGAAACGAGAGCGATCGCCATCGGTGCACGCTTTTTCGGTGAACGTCGGTTGCACCCGCGGTGATGCATGGCTGCGATTATGCAACCGTATTCTTTGCGCAATCGAATAGCGGTTTCCTTTTTCCGCAAATGCTTTTTGCGAACTGGATTAGTCGAAGCCTGTTTACCTATCCTTTGTTTTACGCGACAAAGTGTTTTATCTGTCTTTTGTCTTACGCGGAAATGCGTTTAATTATAAACGAAAGCGTGCGACCATAACTTCGTCGCGTTTCTCTACGTCTTTCGACGATAAACGGCAGTGCCGATTATTTTCTTATTTTTTCCGAACTGGCATAAAATGTGAAAGTACAATAATGCATATTAACTTTCTTGTTACGAAAAATTACGATCGAATCATTTTATTGGAAATTAATTGCGTTTTGCTTACACAGATCTTTAAAGGGTATAACATTTTGCATCCGGATTAGAAAAGTGAAAGCTGCAAAATCAATCATCCGCTTCTATCTTGCAACAAGCTAAAATAATTCAACAATTAAAATAAAAGTATTAAAAATCACCAAGTTAATTTAATCTGCATCATTTGAATTAATCACTAACTCGAATAATATTTATGTCGTATCGATTATTAGCACAATGATTGCAGATGTATATATAATATTTATATTTTTGCTTTTAAGGAAACTTTAAGACAAAAATATATATCTAATCTTTATAATGAGATATTTCTCATTTTCTAATCTTTTTACGTATCTCCATACTCTATACGGATTATACGATTGTGTATATTATTTTCCGATTTTGACTTGCAATAATTATTAATTTATATTTTATTATTATTACAATTTGAAATCGAAATCTATTATCTCATTATATTGTCAATAATTTTAATGAATAAGAAATTGAGCAACGGATTAGGTTTTAAATATATTTTATTTAGCAATTAAATATACTTGCGTTTGAACACTTCCGCATTTATTAATGCTTTTGCAACCGTACATAATTTTTAATATTACAAGAAACTAAAATTTAAGTTGAACTCTTAAACGCGAAGACATACATAATGAAAAATAATAACAAGGTTACAAGAGACTATGTTTGTATATATATATATATATATATATATATATATATACATATATAAACTAAACAAAAATTTATTGTACATATTTCCGAAGATGAAAATTGTAAATAATTTATTTTTCTTGTTCATATGTCTCGTGTGATATTATTTCTTATTATGTTCGTAGAACAGTTAATTCAAATTTTAGTTTTTTATTGTATTATAAAAAAAGAAGCACTATAGTAAGTACACAAAATATATTTATTATTAAATAAATTATTTAAAACCTAATCTATTATTCATTGCGTATTTCATATATTTATCTATTATTCATATATTTGTATACATAGTCTAAATCTCACACTCTTGTCTATAGAAGAGTAAACTCTTTTATACATAACTTTTGCATACGATATACAAATCGACGTCACGTTTTACATAAGTGTGCACTCTTTTAGAATATTGATTTAAATAGATTTTTATAAATAAGTGATATATATATATATATATATATATATATATATATATAATTATAATAAGTCGCTTACATTAACAATACACATAACGTGTCGTAACTCTAATAAATACTCGTAACAATAAGATATTGCCGTTTTATATGAAGGAAAAGGCTGATCGTCGTCTCGCCTGGATGATCGGATTTTTCGTTGAGCTGTCATTGAGATTCCCATTTTTTCGTCGATTATATCGGGTCTCGTAAGAGCGAGCGCGTTTTTCTTTAAACATCGAACGTGCTATTGCGCGTCTCTTTTTTGCCCATCTAATCGTACAGCTCATTCGTTATTACAGCAATTATTCTTGGCGATTGTGCTCTGAAACTCTGATGAGAGAGAAAGAGAATGCAGTTCGTATCTCAAAATATTGGCGCTCGAGAATGTGGAATAATTTTTAAACGCGATGAAAAATTAATTACAGTGCACATTATCTCTTTTAATTCACATAACGTACATCAATATATAATATACATCGCATATATTATTTCATACTTGTAAAATTTGCATTAAATATTCGCTGCGTCTTGAATCACCTTTCTCGGTGCCGGCAGTAAAAGTCGCAACAACTCTATTTCCTAGAGCCCGCACGTTCCTCTTTCTTTAGATCGGTAATCGAGATCGTCGTCGTCGTGTAACGCGAAATTAAATATAAGCTAAGCAAATTATACGCTATCATTGTTGTGCGTCGTAAAACCGCGCCGGGATTTATTGGATTTATCGATAGTTGCGGCGTTGTCGCTCTATCCGCGCTTATAATTCTCTTTCTCTCTCTCTCTCTCTCGCACACACTTTTCTTCGAGAGAAAGAGAGAAATAAGTCGAATCAAGCACGCAGTACAAGCGATAAATCCAGGTTGCCCTCTTTATACGCCGTCCAATAATCGCTGCCCCTTCCTCCTAACTCGGCCACTTCCGGTCGGTTCGGAAATCAAAACCGTCCGAAGGACGATTTCTCAATCTACGATCAGAATGAGAAGAAATGATGAGGGTAGAAATGATTTCGTAGAGAGTATAATAATTATTACTACGGTCGAATTAATATATGTAAAAAGTTTGTCAGCTTCGAGAAAACTATGAATGAAGCAAACTATTGCTTTTTGCAGAGTTAGGCTCGATACCGGGCCAGGGGCGCGTAAATCAGCTCGGCGGGGTCTTCATCAATGGACGTCCGTTACCTAATCACATCCGGCTCAAAATTGTCGAGATGGCCGCATCAGGGGTCAGACCTTGCGTTATATCGAGGTAGTGCAAAATAATATATTTCTGAAATCCTAAAATAAAATTCTAAAAATTTTGAGAAAAGTAGAGCCAGTAAATTTTTGAAATCCGGAAAGTAATTATTATTTTCCACTTTTCACAGGGTATTCAAAAAAAGGTGATACCAAATTTTAGAAATGTGTAATATTCGTAAAAGTAAACCAAAAAGTTTTAACAAGAGTATATAGTCCAAAAATTATTTATTCGAGTTATATACACACACATTCCTGTTATTACATAAAATCAATCTATAGTGAATCTACTGCTTTTGTAGGATTGCAATTTGCTCTATCATACATGAAATGAATAAAAATTAGTATAAAAATATATGTATAAAAATTAGTCATTTCTCAAACAACTCAAAAATTCGATAATTATTGTTTCAAAATTAAACAAAATAATGGTAATCGACCTTAGAAACTCGTAAGAGACGAGCGATTGCGTGTAAATAAATATATATCATACAATGCATACTTGAAATGAGAAATATTAGACTTTTTGGATTATGTTTACGAGTACTATACATACTCCTAAAATTTGGTACCACCTTTTTTGTACACCCTGTCTATGAATATGTTGTAAATTAATTTTGCTTATTGTGAAAAAAGAGAGAATTTTCATCGGAGATCTTTCTGTGAGAATAATTCTCTTCTTTCCACAATACTTTTCTAAAATAAAATAAAAACTCTGATCGAATGATTATCAGAATTGAATTAATCTATTATCTCATTGAGGACAGACAATTAAGAGTGTCCCATGGATGCGTATCGAAGATTCTAAACCGCTATCAGGAAACTGGTAGCATCAGACCTGGCGTCATCGGTGGAAGCAAACCCCGCGTGGCTACGCCAGAAGTGGAAGCAAGGATTGAAGAGTACAAGCGTGACAACCCGGGTATGTTTTCGTGGGAAATTAGAGATCGGCTTATCAAGGAGGGTATCTGTGACCGGACCAGCGCGCCGAGTGTGTCCGCGATTTCTCGACTACTCAGGGGTCGCGATCCCGAAGACGACGTCAAACTTGGCGACGGTGAGAGATTCCAAATAGCAGTCTTGCTATTTCGCTTCTTCGAAATTAAGAATTATTTGTAACGGGTTAGAATGCAATATAGAACGCGAATCGTTATTAATGTAGCAATTAACAAACAAATTTAGTGTTCAATAGCTGGATCTTTTTTAGTCGGATAAGGGGAAAAAATCATTATTTTATAATGTATATAGCTTTGCATAAATGTTTATCGATAAATTAATTAGACCTCTTCTTATTAGAAATCTTTGACAATGCGAATTGAAGTTAAAAATTTGTATGTTGTGTTACGGGTGTATTAGTTCCAAAATATTCTATGATACAAATATCTCTAATCTTTTCTACAAAATATTTTAATTGCGTATATGATGACGCTGATTTCTATTTTAAACTTAACCATCAAACAATTTATTCTTCGTATTACTATCGCGCGGTTACTACCCCGAGACAGATACTTCTTTCTTCGAAATTTCTCGAATCAACTAATGGCGGCGGCGAATTTCTCGAAGGGGAGAGTTCACCCTCTCTCGACTGGCCGAGTTTCTCTTCTCGCGGTTCGCGTCCTAACGGAGATTGATGATCGTCGAGCGAATCGGCGAATCAGTCCGAGTATCCTTGCACGGAATTGGATTATAACGACATCGGGGCTCGCATAAGCGGACCGTGGCCGCTCGTTACGCGACGCCTGTTAAAATTGAATCAGCCATTTCTTACGTTTTTTTTGTATGTACGCACCAAGTTTCTGCAGAGATACGCAAGATTTCACAAAAATGACATCGGGCGCTATTGCGACCGTAAAAGACAAGCACACAAGAAGCAAAGAAATTTTTGAAAAGAATGTCTTTTTAAATTTATCTCTCTACGTGTGAAAGTTTACTACCCCTTTAGAATACCCCTTTGGCATTGTTTGGAGTCGGCTATTTCTCAAACAAAAGCATTGTTGAAAAATATTGCAAAGACAGACGCCTTTTTATTGTGTAATATTATATTCCTTTAAAGTCTGCTGCAGCTTTTAACAAAACTTAGTGTGCAATTTGTTAACAATTTATTATCCAGAGTAATTTATTTTTACAAAATTTTCTGTAAGAAACTGCCTGCAAATATTCTCGCTAAAAGGATGAGGAGTTAAAGGATAAGCTCATAAACCGGTTGGCTCATTTTTCTTACCTTGCCATTAAACGACTACATACCGGTCTATTATTCTTTTACACAATATCTATATTCTATTAATCGTAATTTATAGTTTTTGTGACATTATTTATAGTTTTGCGATTACACTTGCCGAAGCAAATAAACACCCACCGTTGACCTATTTGAACCCACCGGAGTTTTAGAATACTAATATGAAGGCGATCTCGCGTAGCGAAGGGAAGTTCCTCTCTTGGAACGTTTCATCACCTGGCCCACACGGTGGCGGACCACCATGTGGGACCCACGCTCGCTCGAGTAACGGTATGAATGAGTAAATTAAATGCTCGCGTATTAATCGGCCGCTCCTGCGTTTCTCGGTCTCGGAAATTACCGGTTTCCCCGTCCATCAGATCGGCCTTTCCTCCGGTAGCCGGCACGGCTGGGCTCTGTAATTTTCTCGCCGCCCGGTACATGCCCACGTGTGTACGGGAGACCGCGCGCGAGATGTGGGCCTTATTCGCGTGTAAGAATCGATCGTCCTCGAGAAAATCGACGGCCGATGAAGGACGCGCGTCTACCGACTCGCCGCGCCGGATGAATCAGGATTCTTCGGCATTTTCGGCACGATCGTGGCGAGGTTGAAAGCGAGAAAAGCGTCGAAAATATTATTTCCGACATTTTTTATATGCATGCCGATGAATAGAACATTTTTTTATAATAAATTGATATTAAAAAGATTTAGCAAAAATAGATACATATTTAAAAAATTATAAAATAAAATATATATTAATTCGATAAGTAAAAACCTCATTAAGCTTTTGGGCCTTTTAAACACGTCAAGTATAAATTTTGTGCACAAATACGAAGCAGATTTAAATGCAACAAATATGTTTAATTTTTATGATAATGACATATTGAGCGGAATATAAATTTTGAAATTTTTTGTAATTAATTGAGATAATGCAGAGTTCACACTAAAAAGAATCTACTGCTTTAGATCACTATAGAAAATGATAGATGTTAATAAATGAATGCCATCCCTTGCAAAAAAATCTAAAAATCTAAATAAATGAGCACTATTTAATGGCTATTTACGGCGCCTAACACGTTTTAGAAAAATTCTCACGGAATCCAAATTGGCGCCTCGGCGAGGTAGGAGAGAGAGGAAAGGTTTGCTTCTCACATGACAAGACAAATGAAATGTGTATTAACGTAGATCTTTTCTATGGTCTGAGAAACCTCAAGTCGGCAAAGATAAAAGGGATCATGTAGTTAGAAAGAGAGGAAGGAGGATTCATGCGTCTGTAAATCGATCGTTCTGACGGTCGGGCGCTTGTCGAAAAAAATAAAGAAACCAGGGCAAAAATAACACACGACCTAGCAGAGGGGTGAGAAACGAAAAGGGACACCATCTATTAAATACTCGCGCGCGAAGTGTACGAGTCGAATTACCAGAGCTGTCGAGATGAAGTGACGCCTTTGTTTGGCAAACGTGTCGGATTGTTTTTCTCGCATCATGTGAAACGTGTCACATGGTATAAGTTGAGGGACCAATTGGACGGGAAAAGTAAATGATTAATTTCGCGTATTATTACACGGCCTAATCGGTGTATTCCGTTTATTAAAATAAATGTGAATTGCTTGAAATAATTAAAAAATACAAATTGACACATTTTAAAAATGTGTGTGTAAAATGCATGCGAATAAATTGAATAAAACGTCAATCTTACTATGCAATTTTATCATTCGATTTATCTCGAGATAGGTCTTCAAGTTTTTTTCTTTATTAATTTTCACACTCTCTTACGATTACTTGCTAAGTCTTCAGTGTGAAATCTTTGGGCAAAGAAGAAATTTTCAAATTTGTTTCTTTCTTGTTGCACGTTTATATAATTTCACATTTCTGACTGCAATATCTATTTGATCATGCAATCTTCTTTTTTTTAGAGAACATTCTTCAGGCGAATCATATCGACCTAATAACTGATCTCAAGATCATCGCGGCAAGGATGGCGTTAAATTATGTGAATATGCATATGAATTAATCTTATTCGATAGAGATAAGTTTTTCGCAGGATTTTTACGTTGCAAGTTTTTATCGATGTTGCGCGTAAATCCAGGCGAATCTCAAAAATCAGAGAAGAAATTATATACTTCGCGAAGCTAAGCGTCCACAGCCCGACTGGGGTTTCTCGAAGTTTTCGGAACCGGGTATTAGCCGCGGAATAAATAATTGCCAGGTTCGTGCGACCGGTACTAGAACGTAAATACGTCATCACACGCAGCACTTTCATTTGCATTTAAAAGGAACATTTCCCCATTACCATAAAACATATTTACGCCTTTGTCACAAAAATACTATTTTTATAAAACGTCATAGAAAAATAATGTACCTGTACAAAAAAGTTTTTAACAGATGAAAAATATAAGAATACACTATTGTAAGTCGTAGTCTTTAAAACCGGAAATTCTCGAACGTCTACCTGTATCAGAGAGGTCTAGCCGCGTTCGCCATTTTCGCCTTCGTATTTTGGAAGAAAGTAATTACTCATCTACTTACCTACGAACTCCTGCGGCGGCATAGTTATTGTCGAGGCTATTTCTGATCGCACGTGAACGTGGTACGATCAAGCCTGCTGGGCCACCGTCGTCCGTACTATTTTCATCCGCATGCGGATAGGTGTCGGTGGATTTGTGAAACTTGATGAGAGAGAGAGAGAGAAAGAAAAAAAATGAAATAATCCGATGGTGGAGAGAAAAGGAATACGACGACGGGCCGGGAATAGAGCGCGTGTCGAATTTGCATTAACGCGGCCCGTCGCGGCGTCAGGCGTCGTCGCCCGATTAGTCGCGGACTCGAACTCCCGAAAACACGACGACGTGCATCGCGACGGATCGCGGGTCCGCACGCGGAAACAAAAAGTTCCTCCCCCGTCTTGTCTTGGGCTTCGTCTGCGTGTCACGTGCTCATCGCATCAAGTTCCTCGCGATGAAAGGAAATGGCAAAGGAATGCCTATTTTCAGAACTTAAGTCGGACGCATTCTACAATGCGCGCGCTGCAATTTAAGAAAATATCTCGTATTTTTGTGCTATAAAAATGTAATATAAAAATATACAGTTTTTTTATCGTATATTTCTTCCGATAAATTAATCAAATAATTTTTGAAATTAATTGAATTAAGCTATGCTTTAATGCATATTTTGTTCTCCGTTACTTGCAATCAAACGGCGCAGTCACCTGCATTTTCGTAAATATAGCTTCTCATCAATGGTTCGCAGTTTTGTTTTTGGAGAATCAAATCCATATCGCGCGCCAACGTTAAAAAGCACCGCGTGAATTAGGGACCAGGTGCTTATTTCACACTTGATTTAGGATCAACGTGTTTACACCCGATCTCCCTCGACCCACCTACCTTTCCCTCCCACTGCTGCTGGTCGTTTTTATTGAACGAGGCGAACTGCGTTTTGTCACTCGTACATCACGTCACGTATAATTGTTTTATGAGATTTCTTTGTCGCTCGAAAGCTAATCACTGACAATGAGTGTTTCGTAATTATTTCATGGCCTAATCGCGCAATCTTCTCATTGACCTTGAGCTCGGTAAAACTACAGCATCGTATTGTTTGAGGAAGTTTCTAATCGTAGCAAACAATGAGCAAATCGTATTGTAAATTAAAATAAAAAATAAAGTTATATTTATTAACAATTCTTTCAAAAGGAGAGCACATATGAAATATATGAAGGATATATATATATATATATATATATATATATATATATATCCTTCATATATATATATATATGTGTAGGATATATTATATACAGAATATCTCATTTTAATCTCTTTTTCTACACGATTATATCTCTCAAATAATTTTTTATTTGAAAACATATTTTAGATAAACTTTATTCTAGTTCAGAAGGGACAACTTACGATGAGCAAATATTTTTAATTAAACTTTTTTTTGGCTAAACGTAACTCATTTCGTAAAATGAGTTTCTTAATTTATAATATGTAGGTCTTCCAAACTTATTTAAAGTTATTCAAAATTTACCTTAACTAAACGAGTACATTTTTCAACTCGTTAGAAATTTATTAACATTGTGAACAAATAATGTCCGGCATCCCTCTTTACAAACACGACATACTTAGTATTAGAATAGACACAATTTTTTTGAGACAATTAGTGTAATTCTGACTTCTGACTAATTACTTGCGCTTTAGTCCTGTAGTGATTGAATTTGTATTGACAGAATTATACCATTAAAAATTTTCGATATAATTTTGAGGATATCAGCAAAATTATTGCAAAGTTGCACGATTATATCATAAAAAAGATTTCCAATCGGCCGCTGGATTTCGTGATCATTTTCAACTGTAAACTCCGTATTCAGTAAAGATGTCTTATTGTAGTACTGTAACAAAAATCTATATTTATTTATTTATTTATTTATTCAGTAATGCAAAATTTTTTCAGGGAAAACGAGTTCCGGATCCGATTGTGACAGCGAACCGGGACTTCAATTGAAGAGAAAACAACGTCGGAGCAGGACGACCTTCACGGCCCACCAGTTGGACGAGTTGGAACGAGCCTTCGAGAGAACTCAATATCCCGACATTTACACTAGAGAGGAACTTGCCCAAAGGACCAAGCTGTCGGAGGCTAGAATTCAAGTGTGGTTCAGCAATAGAAGAGCTAGATTGAGAAAACATATTTCTTCGACCTCAACTGGATTTGTTAGTTCCGTGGCATATCCGGCTCCCTCGTACGTTCTTCATTCGTCAGCGCCACCTCATCCGCATCCTGGAGCGACGGTGCCACCGGGTCATCCTCATGGGCAGAGTCTGTCCGATGCAGCGTTCGCTTCCAGTCAAGGTAAGCTTAAATATAATAGTGATTGTTTTGTCTCAATAACACGGAAGTTTCAACTAAAATATTTAACATACATTTACACGCAGATTTATAAAAAAAAGATTAGAAAATATTTTTACAAGGCCTTTAAATATCAATACATTTTTCGTCTTAATTTGACTTGGCAGTAAAAAATATGATAAAGGCGTGACATAATTACTATATGCTTTAAATTCTATGTAAGTTCCAGAATTGTACTCATCCCATCACGCACCAATGTCTCATCAATTGGCGACGGATTCTGCGGCGCGGCTTACTTCGTCCATCGGCTCGACTCCGGCTTACAGTTTCCCGGCCACAGTTACTTATCCTAGCCCGATGCTTCCGTCGACCACATCCACGACGACTCACATGGCTCATCAGGCGACCTCCACTTCATCCAGCTATCAGCAAACAAGCGGTCATCAGCTGCCAGCCCCGAGTCCTCTCATCACTATGATGGGACCGAATTCTGGCAACTCGAACTCCGCTTCTGATCAATTGACCTCGTCGGAGCTGCCAATCAGTTCGGTTTCACCCGCCCAACAGCAACAGCAGCAGCAACAACAACAACAACAGCAGCAGCAGCAACAAGCGCAACAACAGACCAGTCATGGAGCAACACCGACGTCATGGAATCTTGCGATCACCGCTAACAGCGGTAGAGTGAATCTCCCGAGTCCGCCATCCAATTTACAGCAACCTCACACTTATGGTACTTTCACCAGTCATTATACGGCGCAGAACTTTCAACCGCCCAGGCCTGCGCCGCAATACTGGTACTGAGAAGTGTGAAAACGAATTTTGCATGAGACGGGCGTGACTTTGAGAGTGCGACCAAATCAGACCACAAAGAAGTAAGTCCCTCCAGAAAGCTTTGATATTTCAAAATTTATTTTTCAAAGATATCTGTGAGCTCAAAATTATAGGACATGATGTGCATCTTATTTGACAGTTCTGATTTTGATTTTGGCGACTATTTTCAAAATTAGGTCAAAATTACATCAAATTCTTAAAATGAAATTTCTTAATTGCATATTTTTATAACTGCTCAAGATTTAAAAACAAATGTAATTAAACAAATAGCATTTAAATTTTCTTTCGTTAAGAATTTTCCAAACTACTGAATTACTTGAATCATCGAATTTGCGGTACCGTCGGTATTTTTTAATCAAGGTGTACCACGCAAAAGCTAGAAGGTCGGATGTACATCTTTGTGTATATATATATACATGTGTGTGTGTGTGTCATAAAAAAATCAAGAATCCGTAGTTTGTTACTGCTACTGATATTTATTATTTAATGACACATACTAAGCAAGCGTCGGAAACAATAAAATTCAGTTTTCAATAGTCTGATTTATTGTTAATCAGAAAGAGAGAAAGAGAACGTAAACGAGATGTCTGCACATGCAAAATAATATACAGTGCACTTAATAAACATTTATGTAATACTGCTCGAACATAGAGCAGAAAATTACAAAATGATTATAAGTCCTTAATTTATTTAAAAATAAGTCGCACGAGAGAATGACAAAGTTCGTAATAAGATTAATATTATTTAATACTCGAACGGTCGAGTCGCCGGTCGCACGAGTGTGATAATTGGCAAAGAAGTTCGAAATCGAATAAAATATACTGACAGAAGATCTTAGTTCGAACTCTAATACTGATACAAGTTCTTGCAAAATCAAGGAGTTCGATTATTTAGGGATGTGACACTCAATTCATAAAGTACATACCCTATTATACATATAAAATGACAAAAATTCAATTTGTTAGAGAGATTACAAGTGATACAATATTTGTAATTGCATTTCTTGGTAAAAAAAAACCGCGATCATTCGATTCCAGCATCCACAACATAATTTCTGACGCAATAATCCCGACTATGACAAGCGCGAGCTTACATATATCATGACAAAATTATAGATCACACATACATAAAAAAATTACTGAGATGCGTGCCGGTTTGTTTGTATCTTACGCTCATGATAAATCTCAAAGAGACTGAAATTCGATATCTTATCTAGTAAACTGACTATTTAATTAAATTGACAATTTTGCAATATCAATCGCTCACATAAGACCGATTGCCCTACTTAATTTAAAATCATTATTATCGATAATGTCGAAAGTACCAAAAATCACCGAAATAAAGAAGAGAAACAAAGAAAGAAGACACAAAAACCAGAATAAATAAAAAAAAAAGTATTAAGAGAGAAATCACAGAAAAATCAAGATTTTCAACTAGATAGCTTGTGTATGGATATATGCCCATCTCGTGTTAGTTGATGCGAGACGCTCTTTTTATCATGTCTCTCAATTACTTATAATAATTTACATTAGACTTTAGATAGGTTTAGTTATGAAATTTTTAAAAATAATTTAGGAATAAAGGATAATATAATACTAGAATAATATGTAGGTTAATGAATAATAATAATTAGCGAATACAAATTAAAGGGGAAAGTGCACTCTCCTTGAGAAAACGTGAAATGATGACTAAATAACTAAAATATTCAAAATTTTTTTTATTATTTAACAAAAAAAATAATTTCCCAAATATTTTAAGCTATATAAAACAGTTTCTAAATATATCTAAGTGCCTCAAAAAATGTTAACATATTCATACATGCAGTTCTAAAGTAATAAGTTGGTTTAACCAATATAAGAAGTGATAAAATCTTTAGCTTTTTAAAACACTGTTTTATATGTATAATCGTGTTTTTTTTTTTTTACATATCTTTTTCTTAAAAATCACACATCCAATTATTAATTTTTTTTAAAACTCTGTTCAGAAATGAACAAACGATGATTTTATCGTTCAGTCTAAAGAAATTTTAATATTTTTAAACATTACGAAAATTTTCAAAAAAATTAACTTTATTTAAACTATAATAAAAATTCAGAAAGAGAACTTACTTGTAGATTTATATATTAGCTTTCTTTGAATATATTACGATTTGGCGATATTACGATTATTATTTCATTATCAAATCTCGAGTTTGTGTGTCGATACATTTTCTTATATAAAATTTACATAAAAATCAATATTTGACGTTATATGTTAACATAACGGTGATACATATACTAGGTATGCATAAATCTTTAATCTCTTTTACAATTTGTTTTATGTTTACAGTGCAACCAAAAACATAGGTTTTAAACTGTATATACTTTAAAATTCTGTTTTATAATATGATATAATTAACATAATTATTTTATCGTGATTTCTTTTATATAGGTGTTATAAGAAAGTTTTTTTTATAAAAAAACATTCAAAATTTTTAAAAATATATTTTCTAAACTTTTCTTTTTTGAATAATATTTTAAGCAATTCTAATTTTCAATTAAATTGTATAAATATTTTCAAAGAGAAAGTTTTAATGCCTATCAAATGTACGTTCAAACAATAAAATAATCTGAAAAATAAAATCGAAAAGGATCGTATTACTTAGAGCAACTGTCAAGTACATTCAATATTGTTACAAGCAATATTTTATAATATCTGTAAGAAAAAACATATTTCGAATATTACTTATATAAATAATTTAAATATTAATTTTAAAAATAGATATTTTACATGAGTATTTTCAAAAAATATATTATATATATATATATATATATATATATATATATATATATATATATTACTTCTATTAGCGTTCTGCTCTATTTCGAATAACTTTCGTAAATAATATTCATACTTGAATGATTATTTTGCATAATACAATTCTTTTCGGTTGTTTTTTATATTGTATTTAAAATATTTTTATTATTAAAACAATAAATATAAATATTTATTATTTTAATAAATAATAATATTTTAATAATTTTATAGTTAATAATGTTTTAAATTTAAGTTTTTTTATCTTTTGATTTCAATTTAAGCAAGCGAGAATAATTTTGTCCTTTCTATGCATGTATCTTTAATTAAATAATTAAGTCAAATAAGTTAATTAATGATTTTGTATTCAGTACGGCAAAATAAGCATGTTACAAGGAAAAAGCCAGGAAATTCAAAAACTTTTTTAGTCTAAATTTTGGTGTTTGTTGTGATACATGTAATAAAGAAGTAAACGATGAATTGCTATATTTTCGGAATATAAGTATAATATAAATATAGTAATAGTGATTTTTAAATTACAAGTAATTTTTTTTATTACATATGTTATTAAATTGTTTCTGATAGATAATCATTTGTAATAAAGTTTAGAAACCAATTATTATTTAGTCTCATTTGTGCACATCCCTCTTTTTATGTTTGTTTTTTTCTTATATATAATTGGAGCGAATTTTTTCTATTTTTTATATATTTGAAATAAACTGGTTATAAAAGCCAAACACGGATGTTGGTGCATTAGTTATAGCGAAAATTAATTTTTGCTAGAATTAGATAACTGCATGAGGCATGAATTTTATTTGGGTGGCGACTGACAAGACTTACATAGGAATTATATTTATTCTCAATACGAGATTTTTAATTCTTATATTATCCTCTGATATCTCTATGTTACTCCCATAAAAATATGTAGGCGAGTAATAAAATATCGGTCCGAAGTCGCTGAATCGAGTAACGAATCCCAGTCTTTTGCTTACCAGGCGACTGCTCTTACCACTGACAATGAACTTTTATTTTTTAATTTTGCCGATATATTTATACATAAATATATAATATAAAATTGAAAAATAGAATTAGAAACTCGTTCCAATTATAAGAAAAAATATATAAACAGTAAAAATTTTATTACTAAGGTTCTCATTTTAAAATAGAAATTTAAATTACAATGAGTTAGAAAAAATCAGATGATAATGCGTCAGCTTCAAGGATAGTTATTTTTTATGATTAGTAGTGCACAAAGCGCTCTTGGTTCCGATATAAAGTAATTAAATTAAATTAAATGTCAATAATTTGAAATTTTTATTGTAATAAATCCCTCCGGTACTCCATTTAAAGAAACATAGACAAGAAAAATATGAGATTTATGTTACGAGTGTCTAGGCTCATGCTCATGGCACTCTTGACTAATCTTGACATATTCGTGACAATCATTCGCGGTAGAAGCATTAATGCATCTGTGTATTTGCATCTTTTTCGGTCCAATAATAATGCTTGAAAAAATGATATTTGCAATAAAATGATAGTGCATGCAATAAAAATTAATATCAGATTTATGAAAATCAATAAGATGACAGATCGATATACATGTAAGAGTAATTACAAGCCTGAGCGTACCAATTTTACGCGATATTATTAACCAATTTTGATCATTTATATTTATTACTTAAAAAAATCTAATGTGTCCTTGACATTTTTATATTTAAGATTTTCGACTCTATTTTATCTCTAGAATATACTATTAATATATTATATGATGATTGTGAGATACACTGCATGTACATATATATATGTATATATTTGATATAATTAAAACTTAAATAAAAACTTAAGTAATACTTGTAATATTAATTTCCTGTTTAATTATTGATTTTTAATAGTTTTGTATAGGAGAAAAGAAAAAAATATTAAGGAAAAAAATACTAATAATATGTTAAATTATAAAAAAAAGAAATTTTTTTTTAAATTTTGATAAGAATTATCTGTATCTATCTACTTTACCTATATTGTACATTAATTATTATTTAAAAACATTAATATATAATACTCAGTTACATTGAAATATTAATTTAAGCGCTTTCATAAATATGAACATATTATATTTTGATTTCATTATAAAACCATTAAATTTAATTTGTATTGCTAAAGAAGTAAAAATATATTTCTTTGTAATTATTTGATTGTTAGAAATTGTTTATGTAATTTTTTCCTCGCGTATCTCGATTGTAATATATCCTATGAGCCGTTTGTTAGCTTCTCTTTTGGCGCTCTAGAGGGACATAGAAACTGGATTCCAATTTCTTTATCTATTCTAATATGTTTAATAATTATTATTAATTTATTTCTGAAAAATATCTATGTCAGCTGCAATTTTATCATGAACACAAAAATATTGTGTAATGTTTATCATTAGTTATTTTATTCGTTTTGCATGTACTATCGTCGATCAATTTTCAACTTTGCCTCTACAGATTTCTTCTATCTGCATTTTCGTCTTCTCTTTTGTTTTATTTGATATGCAAAAAACATTTATATATGGTAAAGGGATACTATGCAGTAAAAATAAATGGTCTTTGTCTTGGGTTACCATCGTTAGATAAACTGCACGACGATGTACCCGAACGAGATAGAGATGAAAGTGATGGTGAATGGCCTGAGGAAGCTTCTGTACTTGGTGGAATATATATTATAACTCTGCAAGCATCGAAGAGTTGCGAATTATTTTGAATTGTTCAGCAATTGTTGTTACGTTATTAAAAGTATCTGACTATGATTTATCTTTTCGTACCTACATATCTTACACATTTATTCACGTATACCTAATATTTATTATACCACATATGCCTATACTTAACAGCTTAGTATTAATAAGTGAAGAAGTAACTTCACTATGCGATGTTTTCCAGCTCTTGTGTCTTTATAAATACTGTTGTAAAAAAAGCATTCCGTAATCGAGAGTAAGTCATTATTAATAAATATGATTATATTTAAATATGATAATTATACTTTATTATATTATTCTATTACTTTGTTATTAGAAGTCGAACTTTGCGATCAAGATAAAATAAGCGATCATCTGCACTTCTGTAAATATGCACGTACAATTTTATATATTTACTTATTATTAATTATTTAATGTAATAATAAGATAAACAAGGAATAGACACAAATAAAATCATTTTAATTGTATTATTGCTTGTATCTCAAGAGTTATTCCTTGTCAAAGTAAAAATAGATATATGCAAATTTTGAGAAAACGTACATGTATTTTTTCGTACAATTTTAATATAACATAATGATACTATCTTTTTAAGATTTCTTTGAAAGCTTTTCTTCTTTGTGCTGTTTTGAAAAGATTTGTTGCTAAAAGTATGGAATATTATATAGAATTTTACTTTAAGATTCCGTACAAATAAGTCTCCTCATCTTTGTCATACTGTCGGTTTTAATGTATTGCAAATTCACACTTTCGTCACGTGAATTACTGTGAAAATCTAACTAAATATGAGAGTCACTTTACGGTATCGTCATTCCAAATGAATAAACACGATTCTCACTCGTAGCGCTACATATTACATATATATATATATATATATATATATATATATATATAGCATCAAGTGCCAAACAATCAGTTTTGGTGCGCGCACTCATAAAAAAAAGTGACAAGGCATTACGAGATACTTTGGAGGCGATGCATGTTTTTATCAGTATTAATGCCGATAGCGATGAATCGTGTCAAAAGATATGTTCAATTCCTCTGCAGTGTTTTAACATAAACGATACTTGTATTTCTAGCAAACAAAATTTGTTATCAGCAATCAGCATACAACAAATTCATCATTGCAGATTCGTTCATCGATAATTAAAGTGAGTTCTTAATGGATTTGTGAAAAGAGCGACATATTGCTAATTAATAGATTGTTAAGGAAGAACATTCTAAATTTTAGGAAGAAAAACTTTCCAGTTCCAGTCAATTTTAAAATCAGTGTGTAAGAGGTGATTTCGTTTTTGCACTGCATCGACAATTCGACTGTATTGACTGCCCAAAAAAGACTCAAAAATGTTTTCTCCTGCAGACGAAAGCCGTCGTTTCATTCAGGTAGGTCCAGACACTTTTCGAATTCTATTACCTTGCTTGTGAATGCTTCTTATCGGAAATCTTATTCTAGTCTAATGCTGTGTATTTATATCAAAAGACTTACTTATAAATATTCCAATTTATGTGTAATTATTGATTAAAATTAAGATCATAATGTTTCTTTATAAATTGAAGTTTTTCGTAAAAAAACGATATTAATCCCAAGTTTATTTTTAATTAATCCGAAGCTTAATGTATTATTGTAATTCTTAATTTCTATTTACAATTTTAAGTGTAATGCGTTCTGTGTATTCAGGTATCTTATAAATTTCCAAATATTATCTGTATTTATGCATACCATTATTAATTATTAATTTATACTACTAGTTAAATCGCTATAATTAATTTTAGAGCAATAAATAAGTACTGAAGAATAGAACTTAAAAACTTCAAATCCAATCTATAAAATTACAATTGACTTTGACCTTATCCGCTTTATTAATTGAATTGATTATATTACGAAATGATAAAGTCTTAGTCGCAAGATAATGATAAAATGACAACACAATTATCTGAGAAAATCAATTTCAGTTTCTATCTTAATTCGAGTATGCAATGATTCAGAACACGTTGCAAAAATTGTATTGCCCGACTTTTTTATCGTGCCAGAAAATTAAGAAACTTCAACTGCGTCTCTTTGAATATCACATTGTCGGTCAGTCTTGGAAATCGTTTCGTCCTCGCGATCTAGTTATGACTTTATGTCTGTTAATCTCCTTTACGCAAGCGTGCTAAGAGTTCCATGATAACATATGTTCGGCTCTGTCGTCTTTAATCGTTTCTAATTCATAAGAGCGCGCATCTGATGACCTGCGACATCGATACCCAACATCATTGGGCTTACAATTAAACACGCTTCGACCCTGGACATGCATTCTAATATTTCTTTGCCACAATCATTGTCATTGCTGTCATTATTAAAATTTATTTTCAATTATAAAAAAGACAAAAAAAGATTAAGAATTTTTTTATTCTGAAATACATATACAATAATTATTTTCTAAATTTATTTATTATTGATTAAATATATAATATGTATATGTTCTTAAATATTTACATATATATATGTATATATATTGTATATTTTTTAAATATATGTATATATAATATTTTATAGTATATATAATATTATATATATACTATATCATAGAAAAAAATAATTTTGCTGTTACCAAAACGTCATTATATTGTATATTTGATGCGACAGCAATTAAATTTTGGTGTTATAATTTTTTTTTAAACCTATTTAATTGACAAGATAAAAAACTTTGCTGAGTTAATTTGTTTATATAAATATTAATTTGCTGTTAAAGAAAACTAGTCTAGCTAATGTATTTTACTACTATAGTAAAATTATCATTACTGATACAAATAAAAACAGTTAATAATAATAACAGTTTATTTATAGCAATATAATTTGCAGAATTAGCAAACAATATATATTTTTAGCAAACAAAATTAGTAAACCATAACAAATCTCTTCGCTGTCCATATGATATTAATGAAATATGCTATTAAAACATAAAATATGCTGCGTGATAGCAGTCTTTTTTCTATATATGTATATTATGTGTATATATATCCAGTTTTATGTAAAACGATATTAAATATTTAAAAAATCAAAAAATACGCGTACACATTAAGATTACAAGTTGTTTAGATAATGAATTTTACTTTCTTAAAATATTCTACAGATATACAGATATTATAGATATATTTGTATATAAAAATTTTATATAAAATTATAAATATATTTTTTGGAGTTTATTTGTAATATTTGCTACGTTAAATCGGGTTTATTTGTAGTATCTGATGCGCTAACTCATCAATAAAAACTAATAAAGTGCGACGACAATCATTTTAATTCAACATTTTGTCAACGAATTAATTGAATTCAGGAAAACAAATAGAAGAAAACAATACTCTTATTAAATTCATCTACAAAAATCTTATATGCAACAAAAATATTATTCTTGATATGACAATCCCTATTTGACAAAGTAATGACGCGTTATTACTATGTTTGTAAGTATATTCAACTTTGTTGTGCAAGGATTGGCATTATTTGTTTATATGAGACTGTGATATATTGTCGTGTTGTTTTCTTGCAAGAAAATGACCCTAATTGCCTTAATCAAAACCAGTATCGAGTCTATTGTTTTGAGTACCCGGAGCAATATTATTATATAAAATTATGCATTAACGTAGAAAATAAAAAATAATATTTTTATCTTTTTAAACTAAATATGAATAAACTGAGGACTTTTCATTTAAATTGCCCACACATGCAAGAGAATGGCTTTTAATTGTGATAAATAATTTTCACATAAGTACATATAATTTCACATAAGTACATATAATTTTACTAATATAAAATACATTTTTTAATGAGTATCTTTAGGAATCCAATATAATATATTATAAGAAATTACGCAAATGTATATCGGGAAAACCGGAACGGATTTACGAGTGACAATATAAATTTGTAGTACAGAATTTATTGATCAAATCATGAAGTCAAACTAAAGTTCGTTGACTATTAATTAGCCTTTCACTCTGGTTCCAATGGTGAAATAAAACAGGTGTTGCGGATTAAATATTCATGTATAATCCTATGTATCGATAAATAAATATTTAATCTTTTCTTGTATAAAACTTTAAATCTATATTTCCAAACATTTCTTGCACAATGTATTATTCTCCTGTCTTTATCTATAATAATTATAATTAGATTATATTTTCCTTTCTTTCTATCTATCAGAACAATGTTGAAACGTGACAATTTTTTCCACTAAAGTTATATATCATTAATGCAATTAGACTGTGTCCAGACATTATTATGCAGAATCACGGGTCAGCAACCATCAACAGTCTCTTCTCGATTGTATTTCTTTTTTTTTTTTTTTTACGTAATCATCTCTTTATCAGAGCCAATATAGAGATGAAACGGTGGTGTATATGTATATTTGACATTCGCAAGCGCGTCGCTGCGCGTCGATACAGCAAATCGTCACACGACGCGAATAGTCTCACAGAGTGAAGAAACGCAGAGCCGGGTGTTACTAGATAAAATCCCTGCGTCGTCTTCAGTCAATAACGAGTTCTCGGTTAGCGCTGATCACAACCGCGACCTGTATCTCGCGTTAATCGGGAAGCTCGCGAAGTGTCAATGTAACTACCTCATTAAGAAGAAATATTTCTGCTTTTCGCTCGATGAAGATCGATCGTGCGACGTAAACTTGACCTATTTATAAGATACCTTGGATCTATTTATAAAATATTAGGTTGTTCGGAAAGTTCGTTTAAATATAAATTTCAACGCAATATTTTACACAAAGAGAAACTTTATTTCAGCAAATATGTACCGTTTTATTCAACCATCTTGGCCCATCTTTCACGGAATAAGTAACATGATACCTTTCTTCCAAAATGAAGGTTTCTTACTGACGAAGAATTGATCGAGATGATTTTTGAGGATTTCGAATAACTCAAATTTCTCGTGCTGAAGAAAATTTTTCAAAGAAAGAAATAGGTAGTAGTCAGGTGGGGCAAGATCGGGAGAATATGGAGAATGAGAAAAAACGTCCCATTTTACGTCTGATATAGTTTCTTACGGATAGACATCGCGACGTGAGGTCTGGCGTTATCATGGTGGAAGACAATTCCACGCCAGTTCAGAGCGTTTTCGTGCGATGGCAGTTTTCAATTAGTCCAACTGAAGACTATACTATCTATGTGAAATTATCTGCTAAGCAGAAAATCGTCTGTAGTGCCATTGCATTTACTGATTACATAGAAATACGTTGAAACGAACTTTTCGAACAACCTAATACTTTATTACGATCGTGAAAAGAGATCGTTCGGACTGAATAACGAGTATTATTCGGCGCGCGCTTTTTGAGATCCGGAGATATATCTGAGACCTAGAAACCGCGTGTGTCGGAAAACGTGACAGTTGTTCCTCAGAATTTCTCGAAGCAGTGTCATGAGCGGTTTTCGCGCTCTTCGCCTGAATCGCGAAAACAATAATAGACAATAGATTTGACACATTTGTAATTGTTACATAAAGATCAAAGATATATATAATCTTGCACGAAATTGTAAATTTCCGCGGATGACATAAATAAATAATTATTAGCATAATAAATAATTTTCGTCGATATTTATTGTACACACATGTGTGTGACAATCCTGTATTTAGATAAAGAAAATTAAAAAGGAGCGAAGGAGAAGGTGACGCGAATCTTCTTGCATCTAAAACCCGCGGATCATTACGAACAGTTTAATTTAGCTCAATTAATTAACTGTAATTTGCTGAAATTTTCTTTAAGTAATCAGATCTCAAGTCAATGCTTTTGTATCTATTAAGTACTCAGCAAACTTAGTCGATGAATGTTGATGAGATTTTTAAGTACTTTGTGATATGATATCGAACTAATTATCGCATATATAAATACTCATTGAGAGGATTATAAAAAGATATAAAGAATTGAGCCGTGAAAGAAAGAGCGAAAAGAGAAGTGGTACTTGTGAAAGATAAAAAAAACTAATACTATTTTCTAAAATCATATAAATCATATTTTTGTACTCGATATAGCCGGAAAAATTACTACATAAATTAGTGTTTGTTATATTACTCGATTAATTAATAATCGAGAAACAAAGTGTAGAGAAAAGAACATCATGGTGAATACAATAGATACTGATAACGTAAATAGAACAGATATTAATAATATGAATAAACAAATCGACGTTAATAGCGTGAATGAATTAACTGATGTTAATATTATAAATGGACGAATCGACGTTAATAATATAAATGGACGCACATCATCATGCGTCGAGATCAAGGTATGTATATATTTTAGATGAAATGCAATAAATTTAAATTGTATGTCACCAATAAGTTGCAATACTTATGCTAATTGGCTCGATAGTTTGAAATATGAAAAAACTAATAAATAGTAGGTCTTTTCTCGAGCAGGGAACAAAAATAAAAATTAAATAACTAAATAAAATTAAACGACGTTATCAGATGTCAGATATTTATTTATTAAATTAATGGCGAAAAATTAATGACGTTTTGTGTATCTACTTATGCCTTCTTCAGTTGCCAGTCAAAATCAATATAAACAATGATTACATATTTTGTAAAATAAGTTTTTTACAAAATAAACTTAAAATTACATAACGATTGTCAAAATGCGAATAGTATATTATATACATATTCTTAAGTTAATCGATGTTTTGTATGTCAAACAATGATGATTTTTATTTGTGTTTCCTGCTCGAGAAAAGGCCTATTTAATAAGTTGCAATCTTTTTTAATTTAAAAAGTTGTCTTTTATATTTAAATATCAATGCTTTCTATATGCTTCTATTTATTTTCTTGATTAACCTTTTTCGATTCTCTCGACGTTATTGCTGAAAAAGTTTCTCAACATAAATACTTAATTCTTTTCGAGAATCAATAATAAAAAAATGTGAGTTTTTTTCAAGTTTGTCTATTTATCTTAATTATTTTACTTTCTGTCTTTTATTTTACTTCCTTCTAAGTAAGTCTCTTCCTTTTCTTTAAAGAATTGAAGATTTATCTTCGAAGAATGATGATTATTTTCTGCATTATAATAACAATTCAGAATTTATAAAATTCCATTGGACGCTATCGAACAATTTATGAGCATCATCATAAGAAATGCAGATATGCGTTGCAACATGCTCCAATCGCGCAACAATAATTATATTCAAATATGCATTATGTTTATGAATATTGTTAACATTGTTTGACAGTTTACTATCTTAAAATTTAATATATGGATCATAAATTTGATGATCGAAGAAATTACTGCAAAAATTATAAAATATATTCATGAAAATCAGATTTGGAAATACAGACGATAATGTAAAAATTGTATTTCAATCTTGTTGTTTTGCAGATGGAACCCAGCACTGACGAAAAGAAAAAGTGGGAAAGAAATGGAGTAATTTATCAGGTACATGTTAAAATTTTTTATACTCTTATCAAAATAATGACTGATTCTTTTTTAATTAATTACTTTATTAAAAGATAAAGATAAGCTTAAGATATTACGTCACAATCATGAACGATAGTATCGCTTATCAAATGTTGAAATTTATACAGGTGAACATATTACTTTGTGGAATAATAAGCACATCATTGATAAAAATACTACCTCGAAATTTACATAAAAATAACAAATATTAGTATTAAATATGAAACAAATTAACTTTAATTTATTGCTAAAATAATTTGTCTGTTTCGATTGCGTGAATAGTATGATACTAAACCCTTTTGAATTTATGATTGTCATCAGATATAATTTCATAATAAGAATATTATAAATCTGTGTAATTTTTTAATCAATCAGTGTTGAATCACCTCGGAATTGAAATACAACATACGCAAGATAGAATATAAGTTAAATGATGAAATAGAAACAAGATATGTAATAGATTTAAATTTCCTAGTCAACTCGACTATTTATATAAGATGAGAAATTATACAGATTATTAGAAAATCTTTACATATGTCAGTAACATGATTAATTGTTAATTGTAAAAGAAATCTGCAAAGAAACATCTTTATAACGATTTTTAAAGATTAGAAGATAGGATATATATGCAACACAAAAATCTTAAGTTTGTGAAAAAAAATTGCATTCGCTGCGATTTTTAATTGCTCTATGATTTATTCGTAATTGCATTTTTTACTATGCATCTAATTGTGAGTTAACGTAACATCATAACATGTGTTTTACATCAATGCGAAAACATTCAATATATATTATTAAAGATTTTGTGATTTTTCATATAAAATATTGTAATTCTTGAGCAATGCAATAATTATAACTTGGTTCTGATATCGCAAAAAATACCGAATCTCAAGATCATAATATCATTGCACAGTAATGATAAGATATACTCTATCAATATTACAAGGTGTTTTCTTTGACGTACATCTTAATTTTCTCTAAATATGTATAAGGCTCTATCGCGCACAAATTATATCACGTTCAGCTCGATTTTAGGTCGACTAAAACTATGATTTTTTTATAACGAGATTTTAAAGCGTATTTTTAATTACCGGCTTCATATTTCCTGTTGTCTCCGATCGTTAAACCGGTTCTCATATTATTTGCATGTGTAACAACTGCATCAGTAGATGCATGCGATAAGGAAATTACTCTGATAAAAATTCGATGACTGGTTGATACACGCTTAAGTTAACTTTAGCTTTTCTTGTCACACTATTTACAATACCTCCTGCATCTGTTTACCATTGTTTTCTGTCAAGATTATTTTTAAAAACTTTTTTTATAATGCCATGTCGCGTGTTGTTTTCACGCAATTCCTCTCGATATTTCCTGATTCTTTTGTACTTGAAAAATGTCTCTTTTACAGGTATTGATGGGCTTCTGTGCCACTACTGTCGTGCTGGGTCCAGGGATGGGTTTCGGTTACAGCGCCGTGGCGGAGCCTGCGATGAAAATTCCAAAAATCGACGATTTATATCTAGACGAAGGCCAGGCAAATTGGATGAGTTAGTGATTGATGTTAGTTATGTTAGCGTATCATCTATTTCGATTTTTGCCAAAAATTCTTTTTTTATGTCGCAGCTACTATATCGGCGTTTGGTACGCCCATAGGTTGCATAGTCTCGAGTCTTGTGATGAGACGAGGAAGAAGGACCAGCATGTTTGCGACGTCGTTCATCTCGCTGGTAGGTTGGGTGACAATTTACCTGTCGAACAGTTACGAGCTGATTCTGGTGGGAAGAGCGATTTCCGGTGTAGCTACCGGCATGTCATCCGTCCCGACGACGGTGTACTCGGCGGAAGTAGCCGGCTCGAAGTGGCGAGGCACAATGGTCACGTGGACCAGCGTCTGCACCGCTTTCTCAGTTCTCATCGTTTACATCTTTGGATATTTTTCAAGGTAAAAAGTTCGCCAATTGCACCTCACTGCTTAAAAAAACCAATAGCTAACTATTCGTGTAAACAAACCTAGGACTTGTTTTATAAGTTGAATGCGTATTGCTATGGTTATACATATAATTATCAGTATGAATCATAATGCATCTAATTTGTATGATCCTTTTTTCTTTTAAAGGACGACTGGCGATCAGTGGCCTTGATATGCGCTGTATTTCCAGTGATAGCGATTTCTCTGATTATACTAGTGTTACCCGAGTCGCCGCTATGGCTGCGAGATCAGAATCGACCTGAAGAAGCGCTGGAGATCATGAAAAGGTTCCGCGGCATACCAAAGGATCAACCGGCCCCGGCGGAACTTATATTGGAGTTGAAGCCGCGGCCGCAGAAGAAGAATCAGAATCTGCTGCAGCACCTGGTGAAGAGAAGTTCCCTGGTGCCGTTCGGAATAATGCTCAGCTACTTCTTCTTTCAACAATTCTCCGGAATCTTCGTCGTCATATACAACGCGGTTGGGATTATGCAGAAGTCCGGAATCCAGATAGATCCTTACATCGGCGCCATTCTGATAGGCGCCTCGCGTTTCTCAGTCAGTCTTTTAACGGCCTTTATATCCCGGAAATACGGTCGACGAATACCGTCGATAATCTCCGGCATCGGAATGACAATTTTCATAGGCTGCCTGTCGATCTACCTCTATCTGTCCGAAAATGGAATTGAAATGTCGGACAACGGGATAATACCGGTAGTGTGCATGATGATGTACATCTTCACGAGTGCTCTAGGTTACCTGATCATTCCGTTCGCCATGGTAGGCGAAATATATCCGTCCAAAGTTAAGGACATACTGTCCAATCTGACGGTCGCTATTGGTTACATCTTCAGCGCGATAACCGTCAAGACGTATCCGGACATGGAGAGACTGATGAACATGGAAGGCGTGTTTCTCTTCTTCGCGATTATCTCTTTCATCGGCGTGATATTCATCTGGTTCTTCCTGCCCGAGACGAAGGGAAAGACTCTGCGCGAGATCGAGGACATGTTCTCGAAGAAGAAGGCCTTTGAATTACCGGCGGAATTACCGATAGTCGAAGGAAAAAAAGCTTCGAATGCCGTTGATTCTCAAAGAAATTAAGAATATTTATTGCTTATATGGACGAAAGAAATATATAGCAAATTGCAATTAGTATTTGAAGGAAAACGAGATCGAAGCACTCAACATTACGAATATTGCGTGATTGACGTTGACGAAATAAACGTCGTTTTGCAATGCCTCGAGATGCAATGATGAATGAAATAAGAAGAGCTTCTTTAAATTACTGAGATACTTCACTATTTATTTTAAATATGTGAGATTTCTCCTTAATGTGTTTAGATTTTTTGTAAAAATTTGAGAAAAAGTAACGTAAATATAAAAATATCAGCGTTTACAAAAGGAGAAATAAAACATTACAAAGGAGCTCTTGTTTTCAAAATGATGACATAAACAATGTTAGATATCAAAATTTAGTTTTAAATCTAAAATGTGTTCGCAAATTATGTAAATTTAGAGATTAAATTTTTCTACTAGTCTGAAATTCACATAAAGGAAATCTCCAGAATCTCCAGAAAAATGAAACAACACATATTATACTATTTTATTAAAATTCAATATTTACCGTTTAATAGTTTGAGTATATTTTCAAAGTAAAATCCAAGTTTTAATAACATCATTATATCGTAAATACTTTTTCACAGAGAGATTGATTAAAGAGTCATCGTATTGCTAAAGATGTAAAAAATAATATGACGTAAAGTGTCGATAATACGTGCAATTAATTAAATTATGTAAGACTTGATCGTTGTGATAAACTGTAATATTACTCAATAATCGCAAACATTGTGCAGAAATAGGTAAAGCACATACGGAGGCATGTGTGGTGCTTTATCTAAGTGCTAAACTCAAACAAGTTGCACAAATAACGCATTACTAGTTTGTTTCCGTAAATCTTTACATCTTTTACAGTAGACGTCAAGTTAAGTCTAATTTATTCCCTCCGCCATAAAGTCGACGGCGATAAGAATCGAATGTTACTGATAACAGGTAGAAATATTCGCGTCACGTTAGATATACAACATTATTTGCATATTTAATATTAAAGAGCTTTCTGATGCTGCAATCAGAGTTTACTCAACGCCCAGAATATCATTTTGTAAAGATTATCTTTTATAACAAATAAAGTATTTTCTTACGTATAAAGTATTTTGCGCGAAGAAATCAAGGGATTGCAGAATCTTAAAGTTTGGTTTTAAAATTTTCGCAATTGATCGATGAATCAATTTATAATCAAATTCATAAATTTAAGTAAAGCTATATTAAAAATGTATTATATATTGTACATATATACGATGTAAATACATGCGTAAGTATTACATATATACATATATAAATGTCTCTCGTATTTTATTATTAAAATCTTAAATAATAAATTAACAAATTGCGTAACAACCGACGATAATTAAATAACAATCATGATAATTTACAATTTACGAAGCGTGGAGTATAGGTGGGATTCGGTGGAGAAACGAGACGAGATGGGATGATCATGATTACTGACAATAATAATAGATGATAATAGTAAGCAATATAATATGTAATAATAATAATAATAATAATATAGAATAATTGAAATGCGTAATAATAATTAACGTAATACTTTAATAGATGCACAATAATCAAAATAAATTATTACCTGCGAGGTAGTACAGGAAGAGAAATATCTGTCAAAAATCGAGAATTCGAACATTTCGAGAAAAAACGATGTCGAGTCTTCGCAGTTTTATTCTTTAATGCGACCCTTTAAATTGCTTTTCTCCCTTGTCTCTGCTTCTGTACTCTTAAATAGAAACTACTTCACACTATCTTACGTTACGAGACTTTTTTAAACGACGATATATAACGAGAATGGGAAAATATACGCGTGCATTATAATTTAATTAATGCTACAAGTCAATATTATGAGCAAGAAGAAGAAGAAACAAAAACGCGATGTATAATTTACGATGCACAATTTACGTGCGTAAAAAATAAAAAATTCGTACCTTTCTATCGTAAAAGTAAAATAAAATCTTAAGTTTTCGAGTAGAAAAGTGGAATAAGCTGGAATCCTCCGCAAAATTCATTGTTGCGAGTAGATTCTAACGCATGTAACAAAACTGCGCATTCTTCAACAAGGAATAAATGCCAGTTGTATAATACACATTTAAGATGCTATTGTTCAGTCTTCTTCTTCTTCGATTATCATTAAGTATTAAATCGAAGTTATATATATATATATATATATATATATATATATACGCGTGAATCGTCCGGACTTTAGCCCTAGCACTCTCTCTCTCTCTCTCTGTTGTGATATGCCTTTTTGTTAACATTTCTACGAAAGAGATCTCATTTCACAAATGACGATTCGCCAAATAATAAGCAAGACGTGATAATTTCTCCTAAACAGTTCTCGTTCATGGTCGAAACTTAAAGAGCTTCTACCATACTTATCACTTGATTGAGCAAGAATATCGCGATTGATCTTGCAGATTCATTTGCGATTAATTCATCGCTGCAATTTGTTAATCAATTAATTAGAACAAGAAATTAAAAGTCTATTAATATAAAATAACATATAAGATTAAAATTAAACTAACATTAAATCGGTGAAATAAAAAAATTATCTACAATAATACTATCTACAATACTTTTCAAATCGTATAACTTTTAATTAAATCCAGATCTCACACAATATAAAATAATTAATAAAATACAAGATAATTAAGAAAACTCGAAAGTCGGCTTCACGCGTTCTTGCATCTAGGACATGAATCGAGGAGCGATCCAATTAGCTATCTTAACAATCTAGTAATGTCAGTAAAGCTCTATTGGCGGAATATCTTCCACTCGTTCCTGTATCTAATCCTCCCTAACGTCAGTAAAGCTTCATTTAAGTCAAAAGCCTCTTTTTAGCTGCTGATTCGCGTTGGATATATTATTGCTTTTTATCATCGAATATCCTCTTTCAACTTTGTATTCCGTACGACGCGACGATTCGGTCTCGTTGATGTTTCGCGATCGGTGACCGAGTTTTCGGGAGCATAGCTCGTGATCGAGTCGAGGTAAATGTCAAATGTCATTCTCGATTACTCGACGAGAAATCGAAATTGCATTCCGACTTGATCGACCCGATCGAATTCGTCGTCGTACTCTGCCTACCGTCTCTCGAAGTGGAAGTTGAAAGTCTTCTCTGGAAGCGCCAGATTGCCGATGGGAACCTTGTAGATCTCGTTCTCTACCGGCACTATGTTGAAGTTCTTCAGCAGAGTAGCTATTGTTGAGAAGCTGATATACTGGACCATCTTGTAGCCCATGCAAGATCTCCGGCCTCCACCGAACGGTAGAAAGTGCTCCGGCTTCGAGAGTTTGCCGTTTTGCACGAATCTATCTGGCATGAACTCTTTAGGGGATGTCCACAGCTCCTCCGACATGTTCAGATCATAGTTGTTCAGGAAGATAAACGTGTCCTTCTCGATCTTATAGCCTGAAAATCAAAGACTTGAGTAATTTCAACGAAATTTTTCGAATTATCGAAAATTATATTAATAAAATTCGCAAATATTTCATTATGATTTCGTAAATTAGCAAACGTATTAATTAAGGCAAGAAAAATTATGTAAAGAGAAATAAAAAAAAATGATTTACCGGCTACGGAACTATCCTGGTTGGCCACGTGCGGTACAATCGGACTAGCAATCAGCCTAATCGATTCGAGAATGATAGCCTCCGTGTACGGCATTTTTCCCCGGTTCTCCAAGCCGACAAATCTGCCTGGAATCTCGACGCTGTCAATCTCCATCTGCGCCATTCTCTGCACATGCGGTAAAGTGACCAGGTATCCAAGAATCTTGATAAGAAGATTGCCGACAGCCGAGTGACCTCCTACGATATCTTCCAGCGCGAACATCGCCATGTCCCAGGTCATCCTAGGTTCGGCATCAGTCTTGATGTGATTGATCAGACAGTCCACGTAATCCTCTTCGGGTATAATCGCTTTCCAGTTGGCTAGACGGTCCCCGATGATGTACTTCTCCATGAATTGCTTGACTTCGTGAGTCCAACTAATCATCCTCGTCATGTTCCTCTGGTGCAACGGCATCAGGAACGGCATAAAGTCCGCGGCATAGCCCTGGTTCACCTCGAAGAACACCTTGTCGAAATTCTCAATCATTAAGCGAAAGGGAACGTCGCCGAGAGGGAAGCTACGCGAACAGAAGTACTTGACGAAGACGTTCGCGCACGTGTGCATGATCAGCGGCTTGGCGTGCAAGCTTTCGCCGGCGATGCCGTTGAGATAATCTACCAGCAGTTCCACCTCGCCACCGATGATGCCGTTCAATTGGTTGTATCGTGTAGTAAAGGCACGCGGGAAAGTATGCGCTCGTAGCATCTCTCTTCGTGTCTTCTGAACATCCGACCAGTTACAGAACGCCAGGGCTGCGGACAACAAAATTCGCACATACATCTCAATCTATTTTGCTGATATATATATTGAAAATATACATTCGGAGAAAATATATAAGATATAAAACAATAAAAAGATAATTTTCTCAGGATATATTTTTGATATTATATATAAATATATTCTCCTCGACTAGTTTCGCTTTTCCTGTTATATGATGATTTATAACAACTTGCAACGGAAGCAGCTGACGTTGGATCATATCGTGATAGCGAACATACCTATTCCGCGAACACATCGCGGTTCAAATTACTAAATACGACGCGTTCGCAAAACGTCATCGATTTTCAAGAGAAAAATTTGTCGACGCATGCTCTCTTTTTAATTTGCGTGCACTACATATATACACGGAAATGTAATGTGAACGCGCTACGATGCGGCATTGATTCGCATACGCTGCCGGTACACTTGATATGAAATCGAAGCGGGAGAAAAGACGGCAGCAGGAAATGACCCGGTTTTACGCCGCCCGAGAACCTGAAGAGCAATCTTTCCACGACTCCTCCGTCCTCGCGCCACCCGTTTTTTCATGACGACAATATGTTATCACATCAAAATCAAAGAGAAACACAACCCGAGAACATTTTTTTAACTGTAGCATTTTAACATTTTATATAACTTGAAGAAAGATTTCCCAGACAATAATTAATAAATATACGTATTAAACTTTTTCTACTAGACTTATTTGAAAATATTATATTATATTGTACAATAATAATTTTTAAAAAATATAAAAATATATTGTTAACATTTAGCATGTGAAAAAATCAAGAAACTGAGCAACTAATACCGCAATAAAAAATCCTAAAGATGATAATATTAAAACTAATGATTTTCCTAATGTAATCAGGATAGAATGAACGAATAGATTGGAAGGAGTTAGATCGATTGTCTCGGATCACAATGGCAGTGTTTTGATATATTAGCCTTGATCCTGTTTGTCGACTACCGGGTAAGTCAGGAACACGTGAAAGTGGTACCGTGACCTTTCCGGCTGCACTTGGTACCGCTTCTTGCGCTGACCTTAGCACAAGTTTCGGTGCGAGTGGACAAAAATGTAATGGCGTGAGAGAAATATGCGTGCGTGACAAATAAATATCGACATGCGTACGGTATGTGTATAAGTATATGCGTGAATCACGCAGCAAGGCCATTAGCAGGAGAGTGATTTTTTAGGATTTTTTAGACACAGTTGACAAACCGCGAAATTTTCTATCGGCGCGAAATCGATGATTAACAACAAGCGATAAATTACGATCAGCTGAAATTTCTTCTCATCTGCCTGAGAAACGCACATTAAACACACGTGAACAACTAAGCGTGACCTAAAGCGCTGAGAAAGTGATTCGTTATGGTTGCATGAGCGTAATCGATTTCTGTTTCAACAAATAACCGAGAATATTTACTGCCACTGTTAATTCCTAATTATTATTATACGCGAAATTATGTCGGATCTCTCCTGCGATTTTTTGCTACACAGATTATCGGCAAGAATTTAAAAAAAATTAAGAAAAAATAATCTATTGCTTTAAAGAACGAATTTGTTATCCTTTATTTACACCGTTCAAATTTGATTATTTTTCTCACAATTAATAGATACTTATTTGAAATATCGTGTAGAATTTTAAGAATTAAAATGATAATTCTTTCTTCAAAATAAAAATTAATTCCGAAATTATTTTTGCTGTAGTAAAAGAAGATATACAAGATGAGATACTTACAGTTCTCCTTGTTGCCGAAGAGAAGATGATATCTGATGAAGTTCGGCCGAGAGTCAAAGTGGTGGCCTTTGGCGATCAAGATTTCCTTAATGTTTTCCAGTCCGTTGACGACGACGCAGGGTAGGGAGCCCAACTTGAGCTTGATCACCTGACTATCGTAGACCCTGACGAGGTCGGCGAAGGCTTTGTAAGGCACATCGTACCGTCCCAAGATATGAAGAGAACCGAGGATCGGCCACGGCTTGGGTCCTGGTGGATCCAATAAAGTGGATGACTCCTCGCCGTCGTACAACCTCTTTGACGTCTTCTTCCCTCTGATATGATCCACCAGGATTAAGATCAAAGCCACAAGGGTGACGGCGAGCAAAAAGTACGTCGTGGCGCTGATAGAGATCATTTTCCAACACAATCACAAATTTCTTCACTGAAAAATACCCGCTCTCGTTACTTCTTCTGCCACTTGCCTCCCCTTCCCGTGTGACCCGGAAGAAAGTTTTCTGGCGCTTCTTATAACAACGAGTTATCCAGATTGAAAGTCTCTTTGGATTCAATCTCTTTCGAATCAAGACACACACGTGGATCTTAATGGTTCGATTGTTCCTGAATCTTCTCGACTCCAGTCCCGGACAATCTCTCGCTTCCTTCCCCAAAGAGAAATATGAATGCTGATCGTACCTACTGACCGATCAGGACGCAAGCTCCTTGTGGGCCCGTCTGTGAACGGTCCGCCGATCTGGCTCGGTCTGTGGGGATAGGATGGTTGTCCGGCTATCTTATATAGCCGGGCGTAATGTAGTCAGCACATTTGCGTCGAGCACTGCTACCCCATACATATGGATTCGTGTTGAGACGAGATGGGCAGCGAGCAGGAGGAAGAGAAGGAGGAGGTGACGGTGGAGGTGGAGGTGGAGGAAGAGGAAAAAGAGAAGGAGAAAGAGGTGGAGAAGATGGACACTCGATCGCAAGAGATGTATCCCTCTGCCTTTGCCGCAACGGAAACGAATTTCAAGAAAACCTGAAAAGAGATATACTTCGTGAGTTGATATAGAGCCCGCGACAGGATCCGCAGGGTGGAGAGAGAAGGGAAGCGGAGGAAAGTGGACACGCCGGCGGAGGGATGATCGAAAGACTGCGTCGGAGAAGGGAGAGAGAAGAGAGAGCAGCCCGTAAATAGTAGACAGGTGGGGAAAAGAATAATCTCTTAGGGTCTCCTGGACCCTCGCTGGGCAAAGCAAGGGACGCTTCTTGCCCTCGACTTCTCTCCTTAAGGTGCCATCGAGTTTTCTGGCAGCCAAAGTGGTGGTGTGGGAATTATTCAGTGTACTCGAATGTACTCGCGATGAGACGCCGGACCGGAATCGGCGATTGACAGTAATTCGCTTTTGACTTACACAACGGGGTACGTGGACGGAGAACAAAGTTTCGTTTTTCGCGAGGCGGCCGACTGATACGGCCGGTAATGGTCCCGTGCCAGTTGAACGTTTTGATAAGTATGCGGGAACCGAGTCGCAAGAAGGTGGATTATGGACGTGCATCGAAGATGCATCGAGAGAGAAATGAGAGGGACCAGATATGCGACTGAGAACAGAGAGAAGGGCTAAAGAGTCGCGTTTCTTGGTGCCACCAAAGCTCGATCATATAAATTCAACGTTTATCGCGCCCGTATCATTAGAATCGTAAATTTTCTGTCATTTTGCATTGTTGGAAATTTTAAATAAAATTTTTGGCATTCAAACAATTATTTAATTATATTTCATTTTGATATTAGGAAGAAAAAAATACTTCATTGTATGTATAACGATCGTCATTTTTGTCATTTGAAATTCTATATTATCACGCTTATTTGGGGCGGCAGACTTTGTTTACGTCTGGAACGATTTTTCTCATCGGGAAAAATCAATCGATTGGTCAATCTTGAATCCGAAATTGGCCTCAGCAGGATGTTGAATAGCGTTATATAACAGTGAGACAACTATTCGAATGCATCTCGTTCGACGAGAAGGAAGTAAAATATACAATTCTAATGATCTCTTCTTTTCCTTTCATCCATATTAATTTAGTTTCGTAAACATTATTTACGCTAAAAATAAACTCATCTAATCATTCTTTAAATTTTTGAAAATAATAGTAGGTATCTTGTATCGCCAGTGATGAATAAAATTAAAATTAACTGTGAGACGACCCAACTGGCTTAAATTAATTCTTATTATTATTAGTTTGATGCCATATACAAGAAAAGACAACGTTTCGACCTTAGGTTTAGGTCCTTATCAAGTTTAAAATTAACATTAAAAAATACAATAGATGTACATACAAGAATTTCGATTTTTAAGAAAGCAAAGCGCAAACCAAGATTGTAATAACAAATTAAAACGTACCTTACAAAATCTTTAGTACAATATATAATTAATTTTTTTCCTTTTACATATTTCAATATAAATACTCTGTGTCACGTAAAACGTTCAGTATGGATGGTAAAGACGAACTAAGTTAAACAGCTTTGATTATTCTATCATAGATCGGATTCAAATTCTCTGTGTCTTTCTGTAGGTTAATCGTGTTATTAAATTTTTTTATAAAAAACATTTCAGCAATCTCTCTTTTCCTAGTGTTTGTTTCTCGATGTAAAATATTTAAGTTTGTCCATTTAAAGTCATGCGAAACACAGTTTTTTTTAATCACAGTTATTTTTAATTTTGAAAATAAATTAATATAATTCTTTCATATAATTCTTCAACATAATTAAGGAAATGAATAACATATACTTGCAATATTTATTTGCGCAACCATGTCAATAATGAGATTAAAAATTAAAATGTTTGATCATAAAAATTTAATTGAAGACTTATATCTCGGCATTTAATCCTGTTCGTTGAAAAATGAAATCGATACTGAATTTTCGTCGATTATTACGATTTCCACAAATTATTCTCAGATAGAAATCACACACACAGGGTATGTAAATACAACAATAAGTCAAAAACATTGTAAAGGAATAATAGGAATAATGGAATACTAAATGAGAATTCAACATGATAATACAGTCCAAGAGATAATTTGGATGAGGAAGCATGTATGTATTACAGAAAGATTTCTCGAATTTGTTTGAATTAATGAATAAAGTGTACGATGGTAGGTATACATATATATCTGTCTCTCCTCTCGTTAAGAGGGAGGTGTGTTGCACCCTCGTGATTTTTCCCTCTCACTCGAGATTACTTCATTCGTATGAAATGATTTCTGGGAAGCTAGCGGTACTGATTTCTTTGCTGCTGTCAGCTCGCCAAATCAACTCTAGAGACGAGACGCGTAACGGGAAACTCTTCTTCGCTTTGCAAGCGATAGCCGGAAGCTGCGTCGTCTTCTTCGACGTCTTCTGGGCGATTTTTCATTTCGCTTTCGTACGCGATCTCTCTCGCAGATCCCTGTCTTGATTAGCGTAGAAACCTGTTCGAGGCAAACGTCACTTACCATGTTCCATATGATCTGAGATTCCGAAGGAGAACAATTTATCTCAAATTTGATATTTTTCCTCGACTTTGCATATTAGTTCGTTTTAATTAAAGGCTAATATATTTTATCAATTATCACGTCTTTGAAATAATGCGTGGCAGAAATTTTCATGACAAATTATACGAAAAATTGCCAACATTGCGATCGTTATTTTTAACCTTACTGACCCATGAAATCAACCGTTAAATTCGTAGAATACGAGCGCCTCTTCTGCGCAATCATTTTATCAGCTGGATCTTAATCTCATGGGAACGCCTTGAGATCGCGAACAAAACACGTAGTGGCGAATCGATAGCATTATTGACAGGGCTACGAAGTGTATATACGTGAGACGATTCGATTCATTATTCCGTGAGGGCCGGCCCAAACTTTACGAAGGACCCGACGAAAAATCGAGGCTACTTCGATTAGCAATGAGACGAGACCAAATGTCTCGATTCTCGCGTTTCACAACGCAATCACTCGCCTCGAGTAGTCTTTCATCGTAGTCTTTAATTTGAGATTTCGCTCAAAACGTTTTTACGATTAAATAATTTTATCGTAAATTATATAAATAATAATACTTAACATTTATAAAGAAGTATTTATTACTCAAATAAAAATATATGATGTTTGTATGTTCAAATAATTAAAATTTATAATTAATTAACGCTAATTATATTTTTATAATTAAGAAAAAAATATATACAATTGATTAACACTAATATTGTAAAGGCTCGCTATGCATCGAAACAAGATGTCATTCATACAGATAATCCCATTGTTAGAGATCGGGAGAAAATGCAAAATTAAAGAAAGTGAGATAAGTAACGCAATGACATACTTTTGTCAAGTACTCGACAGCAATGAAGGACGCATTGAAATAACGTGATTACATACTCGACAAACCCATTTTGCTCACTATACTTACACATTTAAATAATCGATAATCAGAGTCAACATTATAAATTATAAATCAAAGTAAAAATTCAGTTAAAAAATTGTTCAATGAAAAAAATTGAGCGTCGTTAATTATTTTAATTCATTAGGGAAAAATTGTATAAAATCATTCTTGATTCGTATAATTACGTTTCTTTTCGTCACGCGTCATTGAAAATAAACGGTAAATCTTTAATGATGTTTTTTCCTTGCCGAATCACAGAACTAACACGCGAGGTTTATTTCTGACGGATTTCGATCGGTGGCACCGTCGATTTATGACCGGCAGATAGATGTGTCAACGATAAAAAGTGCGGCAGAGATATATTCCGAGGTGGCCCGGGTACGAAGGCGACCAGCACCGAAAAATCAAGGTTGTCCGCGCTGGATTAGCAATGAATAATATCAGGATGATGGTCGCTCGCCTTACAGCCTGTCTCGTCCTTTAGCCTAGATTTGTAGGGTAGTGAGGAAACACGACTCTCCGGAGATCTCCGAGATCCGTCGTAGAAATTGGGTTGGGGACGCTTCAAAAAATCCGTTCATTCCAAGACCAAGGATCACCCATCTCCTGAGAATCGGCGCTTTTTGCGCGTTATATAACGCAGATGATATTCCTCGTTGTTATGGCGCTAGAACACAATGTCAACTTCCGATTACGACACGTCTCCGATTTATCTGTGAATCCTATTTGAGAGAGAATCTCGTATCGGGATAAACACGGTCCCAACAAATTTTCGCATAATTCATAACTCCGCCACGTGCTATTCGAGCAAGGTCTGTTTACATCCGAGCTACATATTCTCTTTATAACGAAGAAAAATGTATCCCATCTTACTTTAATAAACCGTCTCTAAAATAATTGTAAATTCGCTACCTAGAAGAAATTCGCATTATTGGACGATTTCTGTCCGATCTATAAGATGATAGTTGAGATTATATTCACATCACGCGATAAATTTATCAAAGAAAAAAGCACATGTTCGATATAATGCAAATATATCATAGACGAGTAAAAAAGAGAGAGAGAAAGGCAAGAGAAAAAATGCATCCCGTCTTACTTTAATAAACCATCTCTTAAAAAAAATTATAAATTCGCCATCTAGAGGAAATTCGATTTCTGTCCGATCTATAAGATGATAAGACTGTATTCTATAACCAAACGAAAACAATTCATCAAGTTATCACGCCGCGATAGATTTATTAGGGAAAAAAGCACATGTTCGATATAACGCGAATATAAAATAGACGAGTGAAAGAGCGAGAGAAAGACAAATTACCGGAAGATAAACGCATGTAAATTAGCAGACGCTGAATCGCATTTAGAGAGAGAGTCGCCGGTGCGCGAATGTTGCGCAAGAAATTATTGAAAATGTAACGGGCCTCCCTCATCCCCCTATCTTGGGCGAAATCGGGCCACGCGCACGCGAGATATCTCTCCGAGACGCGTCTCTCCCGTTGACGTTGATTTGCATGTAGCGGTCGTCGTTGCGTTTCTAACGGTCAAGAGAGGCGGCTTTTACATAAGCGCGGATAAGCGCAAAACGAGGCGAACGGGAACAGATATCCCGGTCGATCGATATTGACA